GAGAGGTGGTGGAGTCGCCATCCCTGGAGGTGTTAAAAAAAACCAGGCAGACATGGCACTTTGGGACATGGTTTAGTAGGCATGATGGTGTTGGGTTGACAGTTGGACTGGTGATCTTGGAGGTCCTTTCCAACCCTAGTGATTCCTACTTTTACTTTAATTAAAAAATAATCCAGCCACCAAGCCAGGAAACATGAAATTAATTATTACTCTACCCTTAATTGGTTTAGTGGTAGACTTGGTAGTGTTAGGTTAATGGCTGGACTGGGTGATGTTAAATGTCTTTTCCAACCTAAACAACTCTATGATTCTTTTTTATGACTTTTGCCTTTAGGTCCTTGCTGCAATCTTCTTCAGTCCCACTCTCACTTGTCATTTACTTAACCCTTTCTTGTTGCCCTTTATGTCCTCTACTAGGTTTACTGCAGCTGACTTTGACTTTCCAGACTCCATTCTTGCACTTATGGACAAAGCCTCTATTTTCCCAAGGGAGTCTCCATGTCCATTTTTTTTCATGTACTTTATTTTTGTGTCCCAGTTCAGTCAGGAGTTCCCTGTTCATCCATGCTGGACCAACTTCCTGCCTTTTGGATAGGCTGTTCTCTGGCTTTGAGGAGGTTATCCTGGACAATCAACCCGCTCTACCGCTCAAGAGCCTATGATTTTGCTACAAGTTAACCTTCACAGAAATGTCACACACTTGTCCAACTGCAAAAGAATTCTAAAGGATCATCCAAGTTTATTACTTTTGATACTAAAGGAAAAGATGGTCTAAAATAAGCAATAATTGCCATGTCGCTAGAACACCTGTAGAAGTGACTGTACCCAGGAGATACACAGGACAGTAACTATTGAGTATCAAGATGTCTGGGACTATACAGAGCTCTGGATGGGGTAATTAACTAGCCTTTTGACAGCAAAACTAGTTCACACTTAACTGCCATAATTACCTGATTGGCTAATAGTCCACAGAAATAATTGTAAACCCTGTTGGGCACCTCCCTCTAAACTGTTAGTCATCAGAGATGTGGTCAGAAGCAAGCTACCTTAACAGTACTATCAATTTTCAGTCTGCTCAAAAATACTAACTAAAGATTAACTTCTACAAAGTAAGCTAAAGCTGAGAACAAGTAAAAATAACATGTAACTTGCCTACTTGTTCACCTACAACAGTATCCTTTGTTTTGAAACAGAAATTTGGCCATTAGAGAGACAACTTGTATATCCTTGCACTTGAGTAACTTTCCACAATGGTTTTCTTGAAAACACACATGAGAAATGTGTTGCTAAATTTTTCCAATTCCACCATCAGTCAATTTAAATACAGTAGTATGTTTATGAATATCCATTAATTAATGTTCTTTAAAGGTGTAAGGGTAAAAAATACAAACAAGGACTAAAGCACTTATGCCATTGCAAAAATGGCATTTGTTGCTAACTTTCTGAAGAAGAACACATTATTTAAAAATTCAATACATAACTACAGCGATATTTTTTTAGTTTCTTACTACAACCACCCAAACAAAAAAATACTTATTTAGAAGTTTTTCTCCCAAAAGGAAGATGATTGAAGAATGCAATACTTACATGCCCTCCACTCATCAGGATGCTTAAAAGGAAATGCTAAACCATTGTCAATTGCAGCAATTTTAATAGTAGATTCCTTAGTTATAGTCCATTGGCTATCCTATAGAAGGAATATTTCAAAAATAAGCGATATGTATGCGCTTACAAAAATAGTGAAATACATTAAAAATACTAAATAATATACTTTTTAGCTTCACTGCTTAAAGTCAACTTAAACAATATAAAGGAGTATCCAAATGAACTCCAGTACATATAACTCTTACTCTAACACCATTAAAAGGGAGCCCTTCCCCCAAATACAAGATAAGCAGAGCACATAAGTAGCTGAAGAAATGTGCTTGAGCAACAGTGGGCAGTTTTATTATTATTATAGCCCAAGCTAGTAAAGAAAAAATACAGAACACTAAAAATAACTTCTAGCACTGTTCTATCCAGACTAGTCTAATCCAAGTAGCTTTTCCATTTATTTCACCTAGAATAATTTGCAGTTATATTTCTTGAGACCATGCACCAGGATTAAAGACATGCACTTAATCCCGTGCAAGACCAAGTTATAAAACTAAACAATTTAAAAGAATATAAGTTTCAGAGTACAATTTTCTTACCTTATCTGACAGATCGAGTCCATCATCTTGTTTTTCATACCTGACTAACCAGTTATCGTTACCTCTGTCTTTAAACAGGAAAATGCATGTCACAACATGTCATTTATAAAGAAATAATCATCTAAGATGATATACAATGACTAATATTGTAAATTGAGAATTTACCAAAGGAGTCAGGCAACACTGTTTAAAAAAGTTTTTTTCCATTACAATACATGTGTTTTAGCTTTACTGAAATGTTTGAGGCAACTCATTTACTGGAAAGATCAAAAATTTACCAAGTGTTCTTAGGTACGTATTACTGCTTTAGTTCCCCCAACTGGCTGAATATACAGCAAAATATCAAGAAAGCTAAAAGAAACTATTTTCATCCATTTTGTGCAGAAAGATTGGCTGTAGTGTGCACTTTTCCTGGGAAAAAGACTGTCAACAGCAGCAACCACCATGACAATTTTTAAGCTTGTTTTAATGCTGATGGGGAAAGGGAGGAGGCCCTCCAAAATTACATAGCGTGATGTTTGACTACATGGAGAAAACAGACTGTTCAAAGATGGAGGGGAGGAAAAACTGAAGAGCCTTTCAGAAGCTGAAAATGTCTGCACCATTCAGACAAAATTGAGACACAAAGTTTTAACAAGGTCTTTCAGATAGAGGATGACTGCGTGGATTTGTAGGTCCTTTTGTAGATTTGTAGGTGGATTTGTAGGTCCTATGATTAGAAATATTAGATGAAGGTAAAGTCATGCACATAATGAGGTTTTGCATTTTGAGTATTTCCCTTACAATTTTCAGAACATCACAGGACACACTAATTGTTTGGAAACACTGGGATCTATTTGATAAAGCTGACAGACCATAGCAGCTAGAAAGTATTATGTTCTTGTGAAACTTTCTTCTTTTAGTTTGTTCCTAAAAAGCCACAGGTTAGAGTGACTTATCTTCAGCTGGATTCCTTTCTAATAAGTGAATTTAAGAAAAGGAAAATGAACTAGCGCTGGTATGTCTGAAGAAGAGTAACAATGCCCACCTCTGACAAAGCAGCAAAGGAAGTATTTTAAATATAAAACTGCCTTTGGATTCTTGAGGAAATAAATCACCTACACAGTCAACAGAAGAATTCCGTTTCACTTTCTGACTGAAAGAAACAAGAATGCAGGAGAACCAAGATATACATCGCAGTTGTACTTCAGTGCCTAGTCACAGTGAATGTGAACTATTGTGCACTGATGCGAAACTGTACTGTTATCAGCTCCGGCTTAGCATAAAAGAAATGGTAGTCCTGGCTTTTCCTAAGTTCCTGAAACCCCACCATCCCTTATCCTAATCAGGGGAAACAGACAGTTAATAGCCTACTGACAGAATTAAAGCATAAATGAAAGTATTTGTTCTTGAATTCTTACATTGCTTAAAAATACCAAGTAACAGCCAAAAAGGGTTGTTTGGATTTTGTCATATTGCAATATTTAATGTTTGAATCCAAAGTAGTTTTTCTTAAAGTTTAAAATGCAACTTTCTGGCCTTCAACTGTGAGAAAAGCATCTGAAATGCATTAAAAGCCTTCAGCAGCAGCTTTCAGCCAGCACTGCTTACCATTTCTGCCTCACAAAAGTAGATAGATACCAAGAGACACTAACAAATACCTGTATTTCTGATGACATAATCCAAGATAACCAATCTTTCAAACTGTGACTGAAATTCTTTCCTTGTGTTCTCAGGTAAAGGATCAGTTTCAAACTTCCTGAGCCAGTAGTCAGCTTCCTTATATCCTTCAACAAACAGCTGGAAGGAGCCAACCTAAAACATTAAGGAATGACATTTGGAAAATGCACTTGGGTAGGTCACATAACTAACCTTACCATGAACAGAAAAACCGATTACATACCTTCAAAGTTCAGAACACAGGAATGACATTATAAAAAGAAAAAAGACTACTAAGTGGTTTCTCTTTCATTCCTAAGTTCTAAAAAAAGTAAGACTCAAATCATGAGGGTTTTTTCTGGGTTTTTTTGGTGGTTTGGTGTTTTGTTTTGTTTTTTTTTTTTCTTTAAATATTTGATTAAGCACTCACTGAGTTTACCAGGAATAAAATGTAGCCAGACAGCTCAACATAAATGAACACTCAGTATTATGAGTGATATTTGAAACAAAGAGAAAAAAATAACGTCTATTCTCTTTTTCATTGGAAACACTTGATTCAATAGTTCATAGGAAACTCACTAAAAATTGCAGGAGAAAAGTCTTCCTCTCTGAAATGCTTTTATGTTTCACTGATGAAAACAGCAGCATTAACCATTTTTTCAAGACAGACACTTTTTGCATGAAAATGGCTAGAATATATTTCCCAAAAGAGTCCAAGAAAGAAAACTACAGATAGCATAGGCTCCATATGTGTGCGCAACAGGAAAGGTGCTCAAGATGAAAATTCGAGAAGTAAAATGCAGATAGATGCACACATGCAGAGACATGGATAAACAGATAGCATGTGGAATAACCATGCTAATACAAGGTTGTGTAATGTATGTCACATGGACTAAAACTGCTGGGAACTGACACAAGTGGATTACCCAAAACACATAACCTCTGTTTTAAAAGCTTAGGAGTAGAACACTGTGGTGATATTTTGGGGATACAATAAGGCTCATTAGGCAAGAAGGATGGGAGGTTTTAGTCAGTGGAGTACTGCACACAAGATGAAAGGAAGGTAGGATGAACACAACAATAGGACACCTACAAGAATAAAAACAAACAATAGGAAGCGGGGCGGGGGGGGGGGGGGGGAAGACTTAGAAAAAATGAAAGAACTAGATAAACTGCAGGGGAGAAACAATTAGACAATATAAAAACATGACACTGAAGGGAAATGCACTAAACAGTCAAGAAAAAAAAAAAAAAAACAAACCAAAAACCAGTGAGAGATGTACAACATTTTAACGTTGCCCCTCCAGCAGAAAGGTAAACCACAGACTGATATAAAAAGTGGTGAGATTATTAACATAGTTCAAATGAAGGAATGATGTAACAGTCTATAAATTTTATGTAGAAACAGTCATATTTATCAGTCATTCAGAGATAGTTTTCAACAAGCAACAAGGTTTTTCTTCTACTGTTGAAGTTGCCTATAAGTATTCTTTTTTTTTTTTCTAAAAAATTTAAAATGTTGTATAAGAATCAAGAAATGCACAAGTCACTTATTTTTCATCTTACCTTAGGAGGTAGTCCAATTCGATTAAATTTTTTAGCAACTTTTGGCACTTTCTCTAAAGCATATTTTTTTCCTCTTGACTTTGCACGGTCTATTGCACTGTAATTAAAGGTCTCACTGACAAGCCAGACAACCTTAAATATGAAAGTTAAAAACACAGCTCAGAATTCCTTATTTCAATTATAAATTTACAGTAATTTTTACACTTAGTTGTCAAAAAAGCAAAAAAGAAGCATCAGGCATTTCCAACAGACAAATTTTATATGAAAAGGTGAATATTTGCTATTTTACATCTCAAACAAAAACGTGGTAAAAGACTTAAGTGGGATTCTTTATATGCTGCTTTTTGCAATTCTGATGGATCTCACCAAAACATGAGGCACAAAAGTGTCAGAAAATGCTAGAAATTGAAGTGGTTCCAAAGAAGAGATTAAATTCAGTTTGCAAACTTATCCTTTAAAACAAAAATCACAGACACTATTTCTACACCAAGCCACTGTGCCTTTGGACTTGCAACAATTTATAAATGACTTGGGGATAATGCATGATATACAAGCATGTCTCCACAACTACAGTCCAGAGACTGACAAATCTGTCACTATATATTTTTTGCATTCAATCATTTATGTATTTTAACTTTTACCTTAGTTTTAGGTACAACTCCTAGCCCCAGCTTGTCATCCACAAGATAGGCACCAGCTTCAGAGAGGTATCCCTGATTTGGAACGAGGCAGCCTCTGCCAAAGCAGCAAGGACAACAAACTTTGTGAAAATATTTGGTCCATTTTGGATTTAGATGTCCATAAGGCTCTTCAGATTTTGGTTTGAACACTCCAATAATTTTCTAGGATAAGTAATATAAAATTACAGTATGAATATTTTTAGTTGCAAAAGATTAACTAGTACTTTCAAGTAACTAATTTTCAAAATCATTTTAGATGCTATACATTGCATTTTACAGTTGCTCTTTTTAGATTATGAAATAATAAACAAAAATGGTATTCCAAATAAATTTATCATCAAATGCTAGTCTAGAAGTAGTACAAATTCAAAATAAGCTCTTCATAAGAAAAAATCAAAACCAGCTAACATTTACTAGTTTTTCAAAATTAGAGGACTGCATTTTATAATATTTTTTTATATATATTCTAAGTTTTTTAAAAAGGAGGTTTTAAAAGTAGTTTTAAAGCCAATTTTCAGCCCACCAATTAATTCATTGACAAGATATCTCAGACAAACATATAATGGTTCCAGGAAAGTGACAAACATAGAATCCTAATAACCAAATGTTACTTTTTCTCTTTTATATCTATTTTATTTATTGCTTTAAGTTAGAATGGATCAAAGTGTCCTGCATTCTGCAATTCCAGAGTGGCATCATTTACCACTGCTGTAGATTCCTCAACTCAAAGCTGACAATGGTTCACGCTATCAGCCACCATTTACATTGGAGATATGTAGTAAAGCTTAAAATTACTCAGAGTACTGTGTCCAATTTTGGACACTATGCTTCAAGAAATCTGTTAACAAACTGGAGAAAGTTGAAAAAACAATGAGAATAAGCACAAGAAATGTGAATAATGAAAGACTGTATGAACAGGGACTGTTTAGCCTAAGAGAGAATGGGGCACACTATGTAACAGGTTGCTACAGAGAAAAAAGGAACAACACATTTACTGTTAACGAGCCAAGAAATGATAGGCTTAAATCCCAGCAGAGAAGTTGCAAAGAAAAAACCCTTTTGAACCTTAAGAGTGGCTCAAGACTGGAACAGACTGCCAGGTTGTGGAGTCTCCCGAAACAGATTGCCACTGACACCAGATTAGTTAGACATTCATCAGGAGTCATGTTAGGACGATCCCGCTCCACAACGCAGGCATTAGATAGATGATTTCTCAAGGTGCCTCCTACACGTGATTCTATATTTGTTAACCTCAAACCACAAGATTATTACCACACTAAAATATATAACCTTCCAATTGTCTGTGATAGACTTTAGCCTAGTGCATAAAGTCCATATAATGACTCTTCTATAGCTCAAATGAAATGCTGTATCTTCATTCCTTCTCACAGGACCATGGTAAGTAAATCAAACTCTTATCTAATAAATATTTAAGAACAACTCTTTAAGAAGCATTTTCACATATTAGTACTTTCCTGAATTTTTATCAAAAAAAGTTAGTATCTCAATAAGCTAAACACTGCCTGTTGTTGCACCACCACTCATAGCTGATTTGTACTCTTAAGTCATGAACAAGTTGGCTGGCAGTCAGAAACTAGCATTCTGCTTCAGTAACTGCTGATTCAACTAGATTAGGGAGAGGACCTGACTAGTTGTTCTAGCTTCCAGAGACTTTTCACCCACTTTGTCCAAGACAATCTAACTAGTCCAAGATTGTCCAAGACAAACTAACCGCAGAGAATAGAGTTCATTCAGTTGTAAACAGAGTACACAAGACACCAGGCATTAGTAGCATCACCTGTCTTGCCCATCTATTTTGTTTCATTCCCATCAACTACCAGGAGAAATAAATCATGAAATATCACTATTTGCATTCAACCTATAAAATAAGTTTCCTACCAACATGGGCAGGAAACAAACTGACAAAAATTCTCTTGTTTTCATCATGCTATTATCTGTGATTCTAAGGTTATATTCAAAATCATAAGCAAATTCTATCCAACGGCACAGACACAATTCAATTTAGACCTATAAAAAATGTTACACTTACAATAAATATTGCATGCAACATGAAAGGCTGGGATGTTCTCTGAACACTTTTTTTTTTTTTAAATCACAACATTTTGGAAACTGAATTTACTTTGTATACTGGTTTAGTCAAAACTCTGATGTTAGGTTTAGAATTGTTAAGTTGTTATTTAATTTTTTTCCTATTGAATCACACGTACACCTGCTCAGAACAAAGCTAGCAGCTTTTCATTTCCCAGAAATGTAGTGGTGTATTTGGTAGTATATGAAAAGCCGTTAATCATCTCTTTTCTGAATCGCTCTTTGGATAATACTTCCTATAAATTGCCCATTTTAAATATGAGCATAGCTCATTCCATTACTTGCCTGGACCATATGGTGCTACGCTACCAAATCTAGATATGGTTTTCAAGGTTTCACTGAAGTCAGAACCTTGCTAAATTTTGCAGAGCCACTGATGTTGAGGACCAGAGTAGAACCAGAAAGCTCAATATGTAGACAACCTACCAAGGCCAGTCTTAATGTTGCAAGTCAAAATTAATTTCTAGACTAACTCCATTGGCATTACCAACTAGCCAATAGCTAAACTGTTAAAAACATGTTGCAGAACAGTTTGTAACAGACACATCATCTTTTACTCTATTGGTTACACAATGAACAACAAATGTAGAAATATTCAACACTTCAGCAATAGCGCTGCTTAGGTACTCAACTGCTTCACATCAGTACACAAGTATGTCAATAAACGCAAAAAGTTCATAATTTTAGTTAGGCAATTTTACTTTTATCTTCCATATAGACCCAAATCAGTGAATAAGATGACCTAATGGAAACGGACTATTTTGCCTGTAACTTGGTATTAGTGTGGGAAACACTTCAGAAGCTGACCAGTAAGAAGACTTAGCATGTCTTTAATAAGCTCTTTCCCAGCATAAGGAAGAGGAGATTACTCAAGAACAGGACAAAGCAAGTCACAAAACTGGTCTGAACGAGAATGATGCAATACTCTTGTCAAACAGGATGTGAAATCCATTCTCCAAATGGGAGTAGCGCTACTGTCAAAATGAAGTTTTATCAGACCTTTAATATGGATAACAAAATTGGATAAGCTCTAAGTTTAGTGCAAAGAATAAAAGCAAAATTGAAAGTCAGCTAGGAACTCAGTATCATTATTCTCACAGTTCCATGTTGGCAAATACTTTCATATTTTGCAATGAAATTTTTCTGTCCCACATAATAAAATTGGTGGGTTTTCAGTCTTTGTTTCTCCCAAATACTTACATTCAAATCAAGGACCTGCATGAAGGAGGAGGGCAAGTCACTACTAGGAACTTAACTAGGAACAAAAACAACACTTCGCTGCAAAACAGAAGTAAAACCAACAAGAAAATCACCACGTAAGAAACAGGGAAATAAGGTTCTCCATCCAAAATACTACGATTACAAAAATGATGTGCAAGTACTCTCTCATTAGCTCCAGAGCACAGTGAGTCTCTCAGGCAACTGCTAGTCACCAAAAAAATGCAAAATCAGTCTGGAGAGGCTTCAGACAAAACAGATTTGCACATATGGAAATCCAGAACAAGTATGACTCTTTTTCAAGTAATTTCCCTACTAACTAACTTTCTAAAAATAAAAAAAATCTCAATTGCACAGCGTTAAGAAAAACTCCAAAAAACACTTAACCAGTTTTAAAGCATTTTTAGCATCACACTGTTGAATACTCTTCAGACACATCATGCATTGAATTTTTGAAAAAGTATTGATTTAAACCAGCATTTGGTTACTTACTCAGATTCTTTCCTATTGCATATCAAATAAGATATAACCCTAATTCAAAATACCTCTTTAGAACCAGTATAAAGTTTGAATATGTATATATAAGCATACAACCTGAAAACCTACACAGACCTAAACTACTGAAGTAGGGAAGTGACCTGAAGTTTAAAAAGTCTGCTGAAACTTTGAAGAGGTTTTCATATTAACAGCATTGTACGTGACAGCAAGAATCCCACAAAGTGATTAGAGAAAGAATTTTTTTCTTCCTTCCAGTTTCAAAAAGAGAGAGACCCTCCTCCCCAACCTGCTTTGGCCCTCCTCCACCAAAATGAAGGGGGTCATTACTAACAAATGTTCCTGGAACACCGAGTATGAACTGCAATGTGCAGTTCTTAGAACATTTTGAAGGGGTAGTTCTGCCCTTTTCATCTTAGAAATAAATTTATAAATTCATATATTTATTTGTATTAAGTCAGGTAACTATTGTAAAAATCGCTCATTCAATAAAGTGTAAAAACTATCACCAGAAAAGTGGCATTAAAACAAACCAAAACATCTATGAAAATCAAATGGCAGAACAGAAACATATTCTGTAATGACCAATATGAATAAAAGCTAAGCAAAAAAAAAAAAAAAACTTCCTAAACAAATAGGAAATGACCATTTTGGGAATATGGTCTGAAAACCTAGGCACTTAAAGTGTTACACTTTCCATGTCCAACACAACTGGGATCTGTGGGATTAATGAACACCTACACCTACCCTAGACCAGAAGACTGCTGGTTGAGCTTAAAATAAAATCAGGTATGACAAATCAATAAAGAGGACTCTCGACTCTCACACCTTTTTTGGAAATGGTCAGTAAGCAGACAAAGTATTTCTGATTTAAAGAAAACAATGTGAAAAGTATGTCTGAAACATAACTTTCTCTTACTAAATAATGCTAACCAAATGTTACTTTTCAAGCAAGAGATTCAGCTAACTGTTACTTCTCCGTCTCAAAATAACCTTAGGACACCTCTCCGATGATCACTATTCAAGGTACCATTTACCACTAAGGGAGGGAAAACCCAAATCTTCCAAGTAAAGATTCAGCAGACAAGTACAAGTAAAAAGGTAGATTTGTTTATATCACCCTTCTTGCCCACCTACCAATCACATAGGAGGAAGGAGACGTGACCTAAATAAAATACTACCTAAAAAGAAAAGAGATAAAAATATAGGAGGCTTGGCTAAAGAAACCTGAACCGTACCCAAATCAGAAGCTCAGTTGTGTCAAAAATCAATTAAAACATACAAAGAACAAAATGCTAGATTCTGCACAAAGGAATCCCTGAATTCTTTTCAGATGTTAAAAGAGGCCCTTTTACTTTCTCCTTATTTCTTTGGTGCAGATCATTCAAAGCATGGTAAAACTGCAACAGAGAAATAATAGTTATTTTGGCTTAGCTTATGCTGCAAGACATAATTAGAAATCCAAACATTACTTGCATTGATTTTTCCAACAGATTTTGGCATACCATAAATGATTAAACAACTTATTTAAATGAATTCCCATTTAAATAGAATTTTTAAATTTCCATTTTAAACTCATTGCTGATAGTGTCTCTGACTCTGCAGTAACGTGCTCACCCCTTTTGGATCCTTGGCAAAGTAACTCCCACTGGATCCTTGAGAGATTCTTTCTGGAAAAACTCCACACTCTATAGCTTGTTCTGCTCTCAGAATAATTTCTGCAAATTCTGGGTCATCTAAAAATATATTCATATCAGCAGTATGGCCTGTATGCCCTGCAAAATAAGAAAACAAGCAATCTTAAGTGTAATTTGTACTACAAATTAACAACAACATAAGTAAACACACTGAAAAGCTAACAGCCTTCCCTGCTAATGCCCATTCAATAGCAGGCTGAAAAATCTGGTCCATTAAATCAGTGCAAGTTTTCCCACTGGTTTACCCATGTCTACTCAACCTGTTGTTTCAAGTGAATCAGCTGAATCTGCAACAACTCATTTGAGACTACCACTGCAAAGTGTTTACACTTTTCAAGGATGTTTTTTTATTTTTATTTACATAAGGAAGCCTGTAAGAAAAAAATCCCTTCAAAATCATATCTGGGGGAAAAAAAAAAGTATACATTTTTATTAAGATTTTTTTGTCCTTTTGTAGGGAAAGCTACCTGAAAGTAAACTGTCCATTACCCACTATTAGAATCGTATCACAGGATTCATTTAACAGCTTGGCTAACATGTTCATTATGTGCTAAGTCACAACACCACCATGCACAAAAACAATCCGTTACATGTAACACTGACAAGTGGCATCAATACCTCAGTGAAGTACTGCATGTCGTCACCATTCCAACATTAAAACACTATCAACTACTTGTAGAATTTCTTTGCATACCAACCAAAATATCAGCTCTCTGCAGGCATTTACGCACACTCTATGCAAACAATTAGAAAGATAACTAGAAAAGAAGTTGCCAGGATTCAATACTTCTATTGCTCTTTAAACTTTTTCAAATAATTTCTCTGCAAGTTCCGAAACTTCAGATTTCTGTACCTTGCTTTTCAGGCTAGGATTATTCCACATTCTTACTGAGTGCATTTTAATGGGTCTTCTGTGCGTTAGAGCTCATTTCTGCATTAAGAAACAGCTACATTATTCTAAATGAAACATTCACAGATAAAGTTCCCGTGTTCCCATTTCAGCACTTGAAGAAATGTGAGATAAAATAAAACACATACATTCTTCTGGAATGACAACTGACACAGAATCCATCCAGAAAAGACACTCCTAAACAGTCTGTTGATAGCCAAATAAAAAATAAATAACAAAAGTCACTCTTGATGTTTTGGAACACCTTTTGTAGCACAGGACATTCTTTGAAGTTTTCTAGAACATTACCACTTGCTTGCATGAACCACTTACAAATGATAACATGGCTTCCAAACAAAAACAACTAAAAAGCATAAAACACAGAAAAACCTCAGTATCAGTTTGCAACAGGATGAGAAGGCTTAAAACTAATAACAGCTCATACTTAAGGATCAACAACTACAACCCACTGGATTAGAATCTGTTAGGCTACTTGACCAACACTCCGGCAATAAACTACAGTTTAACTTTAAGACTTTTATTGGGACTGTCAGGGACAATCAATAAATTGCATTTCATAGAGTCAGCCACCAAGAGAGAAGGAAAGGATTCTAACATTTCCCTGTCAAAGTACTTAAGTGAGTTAGGGAAATAAGCCAAAAAACCCACAACACACTTATTTTTATGGAAAAAGTCACTTTGAATCATTGGTTCTTATTCTATATTCAAGCCTCAACTATCTCAATATGAGAAACATCACATCATACAGCTGAGCTGCAACTACTACATATTTTTGTTAGCGAAAGCAAAATCAGAGTTGTGCTGTTGTACTGTTACCAAACGAAATGCAACAGCCATATTAAGTTCCTCTGCACATTAATCTTCCAGAGGACCTACAGATGAACTTTCTATCACAGGGATTGAAGTTGTCTACACAGAAGACAGCTTTCTCAGAGGTCAGGTTTTAATTCCTGTGCATTCATTCCAGAATCTAAAGCCATAAGAAGTCTCACTGTCTTGAGGAAATTCTTCAGCCATGTCTCTTCTAACATAAAAGATAACTGCAGGAAAAATATATTCAATTAAAAATCAAATTAAAAACAAATCACATTATGCTGTATACTCAAGGAAGAAGAGAAGAATAATTTTTGAAACTCGTGATTTGTTCATTATTGCTACTGTGCTACTAGAAAGCCTTCTGTTAGCACAGTGATGTGGCCATACAAAAACATATGGGCTGAAAACAAGGAAACTGGCAGCTTTAAGAAGTTTCCTTTTGGTTTATCAACACTCTCCATATGAAAATAAGCCATTTCAATTGAAGCTAGTATTTGCTGAATGTGGCAGGGTTTTCTGAGTTGGTTTCTTCTTCAAAAATAATTTTAATGAAGTTTGCCACTGTGAAAGCATGTTATGGTCACAACTTACTCCCAGTATAGTCTCTAAACTTAGAATTCTAACTAATCAAGGTTTTTTCTTGCAACCACTCTTGAAAACTACTCTTCTCATTAAACTCCCACTCAGGGGACCAGGGCTCACACACACACAGTCTAACTACCAAGGTCAATAAATTTTTTCAAATTAATTTGGACAAGGCCTAAGACTGTGAAGCTGCTATACTTGAATGATGAGGATGCACCAAAGAAGACACGAATGCTATCATCCACACATATACCTCAACCTGTTCTTCCATCAAGTTAACATGCCATAAGCTAAACTATACACTTTGTAAGAGTAACACTTATGAACTCCTTCAACACTAAACTAGCTTTACACTATTTTAACACCAACGTAATTATAGGTAGTCCCTTCAATCAATTCCATCTTTTTCTATACAGTCTCATATTCTGACCATAATTCCATTATGAAAACACTCTCCGTGTTGCAATAACATGCACGAATAACATCTGTTGCATGTTTGTTACACCTGACATGCCAAACAATCCTGTACGTTCAAGCAACAGACATACAGAAAAGGTAAGGACAAGGAAACAACGGCAGGAGATGGGATACCGCAATGACAGTTCTGAGGTTTTCTTACATACTCTTGGGGCAGATCCCAAGTAGTACTCTGGATTCACCATCCTAACTGCCCCAGCGGTGCAAGGCCCACGGCTCTGTCTCCACTCTGAAGCATTAACTACTATGTTTTGCTAGAAGCACTGTCTCATTAACCCATCTTAAGTCTTATGGGAACAAGACAGGAGAACTCTAACGTTTTAATGGCATGTTCACATTTACAGGTCTGGTCTACACTTGGGACCACTGGTTAAAAGATAAGATTTTTTTTTTTTTCTTACGGTTAAACACAGTACACTAGCAAAAGCTCTCTACAGCTACTAAAAAAAAGCTACTAGCATAACTCCTTTTGCTCAAATTGATGGGGTTTTTGTTTGGATCTTTTTTAATGTGCCCTTGTTCCAAAATGAACAATTTTTACCAGTCTCTGGCAAGAAATCCGATGGCATAATTACAACAGCAAACACTATTAAGTGATAGAAGTCCACAGATTTCCATCAGCAAACCTTTCCTAGACGTACATCTATTTACAAAGTTTCACAGAATCAGAAAGTTTGAAAGTCTAAAGAAAAATGTAAAGCAGTAAGTATTGTGTAGTTTATCATCTCACCTGTATATTTAGAATTAAGGCAATGGCCACACTTATGATTTTTTTCAAACTCATAACTAAGTTCTCGCATTTCTGAATTTTCACATCACATTTCTTTCTCTCTTCAGGACTGAGTTTCAAAACATGAAAAGCAGATAAATTTTTATGAAACCCAAAAATACAACAGAAGACTCCATATCTAGAACTCCTAACACATGCGATGGTACGAAGAAGTGAAGAGATGATTGGAGCAAAGAACGGAAACAGAGCAAAATTTTTTAACAGATGGGGGTCACAGGCAAGTAATTGCTGGAATAGGCGAGACAAATAGAAAACTTGACGGAGTTCGCCAAGTGTTTGGGAAGCAGCAGCCAGTTCCACCACGGAACACCGTCTGTAAAACGTGCGGAACCAGAAGTTTTAAAAAATACGAGAGAAACAAAGCAAAGCCCAACGAAACAGAAGACAGAGGACACGGAGAACAGTGAAGACGTCTACATGAAGATGTAAAAGCGTTCGCGCGGCCCTGCACACGAAGACAGCATTTGAATTTCGAGCCATTCGCAGCACTTTCCCTCAAAGGCTCTTAGTCAGCGAGCCCGTATGCCGAGTAAGGGCACGGCGATACGATCGCCTCCCGATACGAGCTCGCAATAAGCTCCCCGCGAGGCTGGGACACCGCAGGGAGGCATCGGCCGTGGCACACCAAGCGTACTTTAGTCCCTACGGGTATTCCCAGCCCCGCTGGCAGGACAGGGCCGGGCAGGCGCCACCTCTGCCCCCG